GAAACTATAATATAAGATTATTAAAAAATATGCTGCATAATTTCACGCTGCATCAAACAACTGTTTTTAAATATAAATTCCTAAATTAATATATTAAATTTGACTAATTTAAACCATAATACGGATTCTTGTAAACCAAAAACAATTGTATGGCGTACGTAAATGAATATACATAATGTTTTTAAAGTAGCAATGGTGAAAGAAGCTATAACCGAAGTTTTCGAGAAATTTTTTAAGAGAAGAGAATTAGATTGGAATTTTCGAGTAGACAAAAGTAATGTTTTCTCTAATCGTTTGTCTCATAAATCAGATATAAACAATGTTTACACAAATTTCACACACGCACCGGAAATATTACTCAGGCTTAGAAAATAGTAAGTGTTTTATATTACTGTAAATATTCAATATAGCAACTATTTTCTTGCAAACAAGGTACACAATACGCACGATACATACAACACACATCGTGCACACTATACACACTACACACCCAGATCAGTCGCGTTGGAACTAGCTAAAAAAGATTAAAAAGCCAACAAAGAATACAAAAATAAAGGAAATGAGAAAGTTCAGAGAACTAAACATGAAAAGGCTCAAAAAAGATATATAGTAGAATGACTTAAACCTATATCAAATCAACAATTAACTCCAATTTTATGTTTATACAATTCTAATGTTTCTCTTTGGCTGTCGAAATATTCCTGTCCTTCCTGAACTGTTTTGTCCCTTTATCAAATTACTAAAATCGCTAAAACATATTACGTAACAAGGTAATAGTGGATAGTTCTCATTCAGAAAAAGAATTACAATGTTCTTTGTCAACGCTTTTGTTTTCTTTGTATAATTTTCTCGAAATTATCCAGAGAGTCACGATATCTGAGATCTATTCTTTCAACAACAAGTATGGCTATTAAGAAAACGAACAGGTAACACAACAGATGTGTCTAAAAATGGTTAGAAGCATTTTGCAAGCGTAGTGTCATTTCAGCAACGAAAGCGAAAACTTAAAAGAGCTTTTCAACGCGATAAATATAACTCTTAATTTGGCTGTATATCAATTTGCATTATTACACATTACCTACATAAAACCTTTATTAATCCTGCGAACATAAATTTAAACATTTTTTTTATAGCTTATTTTCGTTTCTTCATATTTTATTTCGTGTGTATGTATATGAATATTGTAATATGCAGTGATTAGTAATTGGTATGCAAATAGGTGTCGACTACATTTAGTATCATCTCAGGAATACTTGATGCGCATGCGATTTTTCGACGATTTTGGTGCGTGTATGAAATTTGTATAAACATTGTTCATATGTGCAATTATTTATTAATTATTTATGGAGGCAAATGATTAGACAAACAAAATTAATCCTCTTTATTCGAAAATTCCATAAGACGGTTTTCGATATGCTTTTATGGATTTTAATAAATAGACAGGTACAATGCTTAATTTGCGATTTTGTTTACAAAACATGCTGCTTAGGCTGATCTACTTTCATACGTGTAAGGAGATCTGCTCGTGCACGGGGATATTTCGGCTAATTTTTAATTGTTAATAAGTAAAAAACAAAGCCGGAAACGCAATTGTTTTATTCTTGATTTTTATCTTATTACATATATTTTTACACTTGTAGCCGGACAGTTTATACAGAGAAGAGATAGAGACGCAGATAGATAAGAGATTTTCATTTTATTTCGTTCATTATTCCCAAATTAATTTATTATTTATATTTTGTTTTTTGTACTCATTTCTTGTTTGAAGCTACGCAAAGAATTAATATGAATCTTGATACCACCAATCAAAGTTCCTTGAATTTCTCCAAAGAATCAATAATGATTAAATCTAATATTGTTATAATATTAAACTTCAAAAACTTAATTTTAGATTTAAAAAAGTAGTAATATATTACTCTGCAATGATTAAAGTCAGATAACATAATTATATAATGAATAAGGAGATTTAAGTCATAGTAGTAAATTAACCTGTTAGTCCAGATACTAACATAGGTTTCTACTTTACAAAATTTCACAAAATTCCTCAATTTTTAATTGACACAAGTAACGGTATAATGCAATTGACGTGTGCACATATACGTACAAGCTTGGAAGTTTCGCTCAAATATATAAACGATACTGAAATATATCAAACAGCATTACAGAACAAATAGTCGCTGTTAAGCTTTGTTTGCTGCGTTCGATTTCGCAACTATGTCTGTTCATTCTCGTCTCGACATACGCTTTATTTCGTAAAGAAGTATGCGAAACGTTATCATCCTTCGACTTGTTTTATCTAGACTGTAGACATAGTGCACTGGTATTTCAGTGCTAAACAAACAAAGACGCTAAAGTGATCTTGAGCTTAATAGAACAAAAAACACAAGAAATATCATTGAACGCCAAGTAATAGCGAACTTTCAACGATTTCTATGCAAAACATTCGTTAATTAGAACAGCTCTGCTTGATTTCCGCGTTTAAGGCTTAACAAGGTTTACAATAACACACTACAAAATTTTCATCGTCAATTATGCGATATTGGTAGTTCTTGTAAGTGGTGAAATCCAATTCACGCATTTGATTCGAGTGATCGTAAATTTTTCGGATTACTGGTGGGAAACTTGCAATATTCGCAGCCGCAGCTATTTCGTCGTAATACGCCCATTGCCGTTCCTTTAGTTTGGTAATATGTCTTAGCTGTAAAAATATTAATTTATTTCATTTCTTCGTTGTGTTTTGGATATTAAAACAATATTATGTTATAATAAGTTGCGATATCGTTGTAATTATAGGTATTCTTCAAGTTAATCTTATTGTGAAAATAGTATAAAACGAAACAAAAATCTTACATCTTATTTCAGGACTATTTACTAATTTGAAAATTACTAATTATGGTACCTAAAATTGACATGTGCCATTTAAGGCAACATTTGATTACGACGTATTGTTTTCAATGGTTATGGATTAGTTATTGTTAATACAATAATACAAATTGTAAATAACCGGTAATCAATGATTTAATATAATTTAATATAAGTATGACAGCGGTTTTCTTCATGATATCTGTGGAAAATGAAAATCTGTTACTTTGAATCTGTTGATGATTAAAAAATATCTCTTCGACCTCAAGTCGATATTTACTTTTTTCGATATCCTGTGACTTAAGAAATTAAAAATACATGCGACGTACGAAACAAATGAAAAATAAAGATTAAAATATCACCTGACGGATATACTGCAGTGATTTTCAATCCTCATCACAAAAAAAAGTATAATGGTATTGTGTATATTAGGCAAATTAATAAAATGTATACCGGAATTCCAAGGTCGAGAAGAGCTTCCTTTTCCATCTGATATTCTTCGCGCATTTGTTCAGTAGAAGGTAACTTAATGCGATTTTCGAGAATGCTTAAAATATACTGAGCTTGCAGGTGAAACATAGGAAATGGAATTACTATTGCAGGCAGTCCCATTACGAATAAATTCGGATAATCCATGTGTATTAGGTGTTTGTAAATCGGCTCGACGTGATTGTTGTCCGTACGCATCTCAACTTTAGTCGACATAAAGGGATACGTAAATTTATAGCCTGAAAACATAAGATTTCGTTGAAAGGGGTATCAATTAATGGTCAGTTGAGAAAGTCAGGGTCCTACCGAGGGACTAAACAAATATATAAGGTCGGAGTAGTTTACTTTATTAAATTTTATAAAATAATTAAATTAAATGAAATTATTAAGAGAAAGGTACCAACTCAAATGGAAGAGTGGGAATTAATATTAGAATATATTGATAAATCTGATGATTTATTTGATCTGATGATTTAAAAATAAAGTATAATATATAGATTGAAGTATTGTAAAACCCTCTTTAATTGAAATTTACTATTTTGAAACTGAAGGCAACTGAAGTTTTATCACATTTTTCTGCTATCTTTATTTCAAATATTTAATCATTATTTTGTAACAATCTGTATAATCTAATTTTACTTAGAAAATAGAAAGACACGAAGAATTTCAAATATTTGAATATATGTTAAAAAATGAAAATTCGACAGGGCCCTGACAAACTTCCACTTACTTATGTATAATTAATTTGGGATACCTCGATCACTTATATGTACGAAGGAGATCAAGTCATTTTACCGGTGCAATATATGAAGTTGTCTACTTCAGCCGTGGAACCATCGTGGAAGATGAATATGTTTCCTTGAATCGATTGAATTCCAGGCCTCTGTTCTACGTTTTTCGACATTCTCGAATCAACTGGTTCTGGTAGGTTGTGGCTTAAATATACCTGGATTGGTAAACATATAGGTAATTTCTCAACAATGTAGTTATAGAGAGTATTTCACTTATATAAAAAAAAGATTTCGCATATAATATGATATAGAAACTCTATCTAAATCACTTACACCATGAAAATGATCTTTTCATTATTAGAATGAATTGAATATCATTTTCTTACACTGTATACTAAGTATAATATAATAATAATACATGTAGTATATGTAATGTATAATGAGCTAAATGTGAAACTATTTCTTACAATATTTTACTTAGATATATATAGAATTAATAAAAAATCATTTTTGATTAATTAATCTCAAAGCAATTAACATTGTATTTGAGAACAAACAAATTGCATATTACAACACGACTCTTCAATCAATTAGCAGATACTGATAATGAGGAATAATTTTTTGCGAACGACGATGCCTTCTATCATGGTCGTAAATAACTCATTCATGTATACAGAGAAATCTTAAAAAACACAGAATCGCATAAGTTTCAGCATTGATGCAATTGAGAGATTCATAACAAAAACAACGCAGATCAAATTTTTCAATTTTTTAAATAATAACGCATTAATTAAAAAATGATTTGTATCATGAGCAATGAAAATTCATCGAATTTACAAAAACAAGCTTTAGTTAGAGTAGCACTGTTTTTGTATTTCTGCTAGCAAGACATTGTATTTACGTGATTTACCATACGTGAAATACATGAAAAATTTACGCGATTCAAACTAATAACACCAACAAGGATTTAGTCACGAGATTTATATCCACATGATTTAATTGGATACAGTCGAGACAATTATAATATAATCGCAGGTAACACCCACAACTGTTAATATGTAATAGTAGAATATAATGAATATTAATTACAAAATTGTAAAGTATTATTATAAAATAATTAAATGTATATAACAAAAATAAAACTAATTCTCTTTTGGAGAGAAGTGAATCATCAAGAATAGTTTTTAACACATGCATGGAAACTTTTCAATTTAGCTCTTGTATATTACTTCAGGCGTTTAAAGCTAGAAACAAAACTGGAATAAATAAACTATTGTATGTTAATTGGCAGAAAAGATATGTGCATAGCTACGGTAAAGTAACACTTAATGAAATTCCGCGTACCTTTTCGGCGTATTGCGAGACTTCTATGGCGATATCAATACCAGACCAAGAGGCACCGAGGATGCAAACTCTTTTCCTAGTGTACACTTCCGGTACCCTGTACTGATGGCTATGTATAGATTCGCCGGGGAAACTTTCAATACCTGGAATGTGTGGAATATGGCCTACGGTATAGTGACCATTACACAAGACCACGGCGTCGAACGTTTTAGTTGTTTCTATTTTGCTTTCCAAATCCTCGTACGTGACCATCCAGATTGTTTGACCGTTTCTCAAAGTTTCTGGTTCCACGTGCTTTACCAGAGTATTTAACTGAAATATAATTTATAATATAATTAATTTTTTGTGAAAGTACCAAATATATGAAACTTAAAATTAAATATTTTTATGTTGGGAAAGTCTATAACGTTTCTGGTAATCGATATTTAAAGCTTCCATTATATTATTTACTACAAACTTGTTGAAATTACAAATTGTTGTTGAAAAACTCCTTTTGTATTGACACAGATACCAATTATATATTTTTATATGATAATTATATATAATTATATTATATATACATAGTTGAATTGGAATCTCTGCCAAATGATGAAATGCTAAATTTGGACACTGTACTAAACTGACTGGACTAAATCGAACAATGGAAACAATGGAAAAGGAGTTTTTCAACAACAATTTATAACAAATAATTTGCTGTACAAATATTTATATTGCAAATTATTTATTTTATGGTACACTAAACTTATGAATTACTTAATACTTTAAAATATACTTTTCAGAATAAGATAACGTACATATATGTGAGATACTAAAATTTTGTCACTTAAGGATTGGTCTGCCTCGTTACCTTTATATGCGGATATAAATTAAAATGTTTTACATAATCCGAAAGATATTCTCGAATTACGCTGTGATGAACAAATGATGGCCCTTCGTCATGTGTCATTGGAAAATCAGGTATTTGCATTATTTCCCGAGGAAGATTTGTTCTGTAACATATTACGATAGTTTATGAAAGAAATTATTTAACCCTAAAATAAATGAAACATTGTTACAAGTAATTAATTACTTAACATTAAAAATGTATAATTACTTAACAATTATTTTTAAATATATACTTTTATTTTTGATTATTACATTCTCGATACTGAGTCGATCGTAAAATGATTGTAAAATAATTGCAACAATTAATTCAGAAATTCCCTAATTTCTAATTTTTCTAGTTCTTAATCGATGAGACGTAATTTTCTTTTTTCTGTATCAATTAAAAATACGCAAAATTGACAAACATGTTACAAAAAGGAAAAAGGCGTTACAATGTCAAATGTCAAAGCTGATCGTCTGAGCTTATATAAAGAACCAGAAAAGAGATCTATTCAGGCAGGAATACCATTTACATAATTGCATTTTCTTCTAACAAGGTCGCTAAATGTAAGATCATTCATGCAGAAATCAACACCGAAGACCGGAGTATCGCGTAAAGGATGTGAACAAGCATTGAAGTTAATAAGCCGAAGTAGCAGAAGACTGTCAATGAGATCATTGATAACTTTGTATAAAAAAATAATATCAACAATCTTCCTGCAGTATCAGCATATTCATTTTGTGGAGTACTGACACGTAGTTGTGATAACGATTATGGATTGAACAATCACAGTACACAAGTATCACAACTATCACACGTGTCAGTACCGCATTTTTCTGTATTTATAAATAATCATTGACGCCTGATGTAAATTTATCACAGCAGGAATTTATACTGTTTTTATAATAAGCTGAATGTCTATATTTGCTTTAATGAAGAACTTGATCGTATGATACCAACATATTTTAAGCAAGATACGACCAAACGATTATACAGAATTTTTAAAGCGTAGGGATTTCTGAAATCCCTAGAAAATCAGAAGATAAATCCAAATTCATTCATTTGCCTTGTCGATAATGTTAGTGATATGCTCGGTAAAACAGTTGCTCGTTATAGAGGAAGCCTAGGTGGCGCTCTTTATTTACCAGAAGATAGGTAAGAACAGTCAAGAATGTAAGAATAACAGAATTCTTGTCTTGTTTAAGAAACATTCTCGTCATTTGGTACTTGGGTATCTTTAGGTATAATTTGTTGCAAGCCTACCATCTTCATAACCTATTAAGGTCTTCTTGCAATAAATTCTATATTCCATACAGATCGACGAAGAATGTTTCTAATTATAATAAAACAAAAATCATGGAAACTGTATACGTGTAATTACATGTGACCCAAATATGTACATACTATCGTATGTTATCAAATTTTATATGCGCAATACACATCTTGCTTAACCTTTAATAATCGTCAAAATGTACAAATATTAATCACTACGAATGTATATGTGAGTCATAACTTTAGTAAAAAGGAACTTTGCTATGGAAATTAAAATCTCTGCATTCTACAAGAGAATATCTCTAATATATAAACAATAATGGTACGTAGATCAAGTTGTACAAAAGAAATTATTGAAACTAGGGTAATCATAATTTTAAAAAGTAATTTCATTTTAGGTAAAAATTAATTGTTTGAACTAAAAATAAAAATACAGAATACAGACATAAAAATAGTAAGATGTAATTGTTCATAAACAAATTTTTCTTTGACATATTTATTGTTCCAACACTGTGTCATCCGAGCTAGCATGTAACTTTATGATATGCATATGATATCGATACAAATATAATCGATACAATACGTAAATTACAAATCGCGAAATTTTGAAGGACGTTTTTGTGATAATTTATAAACAAAACATATACAGTTTTATAATACAGAACTAAAATTTACGCGAAGATTATTTGTTAATATCTACAAACAAGAATTTCATCGAAACTCTAAAGGAGAAAATCATGAAATTCTGCATTAAGACAACAATTTGAAACATTTGCTTTCGAATATCATGCGTTATAGCTATTTACTTATTTTATATTAATTAATTGAAATAAATACAAAAATATTTCCTTTTCCTGTTCTTATTTCATCAGTAAAATAGTACAGTACATAATACGCTATGACATATGTTTTTAATTGGTATTAATACATTACATTGATTACAACATAAATGATAACAAAAATTCGATTGACAGTGATTGGCAGTGACTTGTTCTTTTTAATGCAGAGTTTGTTTTAAAGTGTTGTATAATATACAGAAATCAATTAATTAACCAAGTTATTTATTAGTTTAAATATTAAGTAAAATAAATACTTTATACGATTGAAATCGTAGAATAGCTGTAAAATATTCTTCTAACGAATTGTATGCATAATCGTGAAGTAATTGTTCTAGTAACTGTTCGTTAACTCTAAACGTGAAGATGACTTTTCGATTCATTAAGTCTGAATCATGGTGCGACTTCTTTTTATAGTTACGTTTAGATTAAGTATTGCTCTAAACGGAATGAACTGAAAGGAACGACTAGTCGCGATAATAGCAAAATCAATGAAGTAATATAACCATGAGTAGAAAACTATTTTATTGGGTTATGAACTTCCTCGATTGTAATTCTAACCTCCAATGTTATCTTCAGAAATGTATCCTCGAGGTTTCCTATGTATTTCACAACATTCATGTTTGTTTCTTATACACATACCTATTATTATACTACTTTTCTAAAATTTACTATTTATTGCATTAACATAGACACTAATTTACTTAATTTCATTTTCAATCATTTCCAGTTTGTCATTTTCTAGATGCCAAGGGTTCTTAATTTTTTCATAAATACAGGCCACCAAAATCAAAATTGTAATATTTCAGTACCAAGCGGAAAAACATATTTTATATGTAAGAACTTCAAACTATGCACTTAATATTTTACTGCTTTATTACTATCACGTGTTTTTATTTCATTTCTAACAATTTCCGGAACAGCTTACCAAAGCGATTGTCTCATTACTATGTCAAGAAGTGTATCGCGTGTCAGCAAAGTTTATCGCAACCAGCTAGATTGTCTAGAACCATTTTACTGTATAAATGGCGTAAAAACAAATACGATCGATGATCCTGTGTTTGCATCGCTGATCGAATAACCCAAATTGTGAACGGTATTTGGTTTGCATTCGAATTTAATTCCGAAATTATTGTATTTTGCCATCTGAACTATTCCACCGTGACAGATTATTCCATTCAAATGGAATTTTATTAGTCTAGTATCGTATAATATAGTAGCATAATAAAATAATATTGTCGCGTAGTATAGTACAAATAAAAAGATCAGTATAAATAATATCATTTTGGAAATCGTTTCGTGTAAAAGCAATTATTCCAATTTCTATCAGTAAATTCTAAGTATTTCTTATTCTTATCTTAGATAGGATATTTTTCAATACTAATTATGCAAGCAATGTATAATAATTTTTGTGATTTGCAATGTATTGTAATGAGCGTAAAAACAATAAATATTTGGTACTATTAGATTAAAAAATATAACGATTATTCGATAATTTGTTTTATTATAACTGCACTAGTCACTTCTTTATTTTTGTTTCTCTCGTTTCTTTTGTATTTTATGCATTATTAATTACATCTTGTTTTATGTTGATATATTATGTTTAACAAACTTTTTTTAACATTTTAATATTTTAAAAGATTTTAAGGCTTTGTTATTAAATTTTCTCATGTAATTATATGCTCAAGCTTATATGTACTTTACAACAACAGTATTCATTTCAGCAATAAAAGATTATAATTCCTAATTTTTACTCATTTTGATTGTTTATATTTTTCTAAGACAATGACGTACGTTAAGTATTTCATATGTTATTAGTACTTAATTATTTAAAATATCAAAACAGATAAAGCACAATTGTTTAAACTGACTTTATTACAGATTTAAGATATTATATAACCACATATTTCATTACAACGATATTGTAATAATTAGTTGAAATCTTTCTGTTATTGCACACTTCAACTATATAAAATTAATTGAAACAATAAAAAAAAATTGAAATTCAAATACTATAAAATATAATAATAATATAATATAATAATAAAATAATATAATAAAAAATACTATAAAGATAGTATCTTTTTATTTTCCAATCTGAGTGTAGTTTAATTTTCTAATCTATGCACAATTCTTATACATACTTAAAGGTTATCGCCCATAGACAACTTTATTTTCTTTTCATTTATTTTTCACTTCGTAAACACCATTTTCTGCAATTTTCTTTTTTATTTAGTTGTTACTTTACTTTTTACGTTTTACTTTATTTTCTACCTTTTATTTACTTTTTGTTTCGCAGACATTCTACCTTCTTTCATCTTTTATTTATTTTTCCTGCCGAAATTATTTCAGTTTTTGCCCAAAATATAAAAAAGCTTCTCCAAAATATACGAAAACATCTTCGGCATAATTTTGCAGTACAACGAAATTGTACGTAATCTTATTCAGGAAAACGGTGCCGTTAAAAGATTTCATTTGGTAAGTTGTTTGCCAAACGATGTAAACGGAAACATCTTTGTGTTCTACCAAAGAAATTTTCATATTATCCATTAAGCTATGAGTTTTAACGCGAATATAGTTTAAGTATTGCAAGTTCAATGGCATTAAACCTATCCAATGTTAAAATGTAACAATACCTTCAATTTATGGTAATGTCTGCGAAGAATAAAAATTTTCTTTTTTATTTTTCCATCGAGACAACGATCTACAGTGAGATCCGTTATAGCGAGACATGATAAAGTGCACCCGTACCGAGCGAAAATTCAAAGTCGATTTTCTCGAAAAGAAAGCCTCAAACGAAAAATTTGTATTCTATATTTTCGACTTCTTTTTTCGCGTAGAATCGCCCCCTTTCAGCTTCTACCACCAATTACCAAACACCCTGTATTTCTTTGACCAATATCAGAACGTATTAATTACGGCTATATAGTATTTATATTTATTGCAGTACTAATATCAAGGATGATAATATCTACATAATAACATGTAAATCATTAACTATCTAATAAATGTAATCTTGTAAACGCCGTCTTTCGATGTAGACATATCACTGCTTCGTTCTTCATAGTAACAGAACTCAGAAAACGTGAATTTCAGGGGAGAGACGATTCAAAATTTATAAAGAAATCTTCGTGAGACATTTTAACAATATTATAAGTTCGACTTGACACAAAATATGCTATTATTCTCGAAAGCAGTACTATCTTCAACTTATGGTATCATAAAATAATTGAAGATGAGTCAATGTTGCTGTAAAACTAAGCCCAGACTGATAGCGGCATAAATAACAATCTTACCTTCTGAAGCAAATCTGATGGAATTATAAATATTTACATGATGAGAGTGCAAACATAATGTAGACATTCAATAAAAGTAAATTTGAAATTTTTTGAGTGCCACTATCATATGTTACTGTATGTGCGGGGTATGTAAACTCGACATAACCTGGGCAATGTCAGCATTACACACTACACACTGCTGCCTGGCAAAGTCCAAAGAAATTGTTGAATAGTGAACATAGACTACCCACATTGCCCACCACTCAGTCGACTGTCAGCAATTATTATTTCTTTTATAAATGTATATTATAACTTTATATATGTAATATAATATGATAATAACTTTCAATACATATGTATATTATGAATTTATATATAGATTACAAATTGATATTAAAACGTAAAAAATTTAATTTTTATTTAAAAACATATTATAAATTTAAGTAGTTACCTGGAAAATTTAATTTTGAAATTAACATAAATTGAAAGATTATAATTATGTCAAAACATTGAATGGCAAACTATGCTGAGATTCACTTGGTAGATTTGGCCTGTCAAGGGTGCATCAATGAAGTAATTGACATGAAATTACCACAAGTAAAGCGAGAAATGGCGACTAGAATGTCAAATGAAATGTTGCACTAACCTTAGATTCTTATACATACTACTATGAACCGGTAGTCCATGCTTGTCGACATCGGTTTCATCAGTGTAAATCCATGTACCACCAACTTGATCGGTTTGCTCGAATAACGTAAGACTGTAAGTGTCCAATTTGGCGGCTGTATGACGAGCTACCACCAGTCCAGCTACTCCACCACCAATTATAGCGATTCTGGTTTTGCTACTCGGCATGTTTTCAACAGGAAATTCCTTGAAATCTATCGAAATGAAATACAAGGAAACGCTGGATAACTTTCAGTTTTAGTTTGTAATGAGTATTGTACAAATACAGGCCATGATAATCAAAACAGCTATTTTATAACTTTTTATTAAAAGTTCCCAGATTTACAACGATGCATCTTTCGATATTTGAATGGATTTATAGAATTTATAGAAAAGTTTATTTTTTTCTTTGCATTATATAATATATGCATAGCTCTTATTTTGATTTCGTTGATATATTAGGTTAGGTTGGTATATTACCACTTAATGACAAAATCCGCGATCACTTAGTTGCCAACTCAATAGATCGATGCTTTAGCCGTCGGTAGCTTTAGTAGCAATGGACACTATTGTATTAACGTAACGTTTCATTTAGTATCTTTTTTCAGTAACATTACATTATTAAATACTGTGTCTTAATATTTATCATGATAAAGACTTCCAAAAATGCATACAATATCTTTTTTCAAATCGTAGAAATCTCTTCTGATTTTCGTAATAAAACGAAAAAATAAATAAAAAGATATTTTCTATAAAATATCTATTATTCTAGTACATTTTTGTAAAACAATATGTAAGTTGCTTTATTTACACTTCTCAATAACATTACAACGCAATTGTACACATTGTTTCATGGCCTTATCATTAAAAGGTAATTAAAATATAGAATTAATTATATTAATTTATTATGGAAAAGGAAGAAAAAAGGAATAGAAAGGGAAAAATTAAATTTGTGTTTACAAATCACTTGTTGATTTTTATGGCAACAGAAATGTAAAACTAATTTTGTTCTAATTGCATAAACGTACATCTTTTTTATCGCAACAACAAAATTAAAGATGCAATATATAGTATGTATAGTATGCGTGTGGCAAAATTGTAATAATTAAAAACATTACTAATTTTAAGTTATTAAAAATGTATTATTATGTTTAAGAAAGCAAATTCTTAACGAGCAAAGAACACTTCTATTAATCTTTTTTATTAAATTTTTATTAATATTTTTATTAAATAGTTTTCGAAACATATTATAGATATCTTTTATATTAAAAAATATCATAAATAAGGAGGGAACACAGAAATTTGATAAAAAATTATACAGCTGTAATATGTAATTTTAAATTGCTTTATGTAATATTTTATATACAGGATGGTTGGTAACTGGTGGTACAAGCGGTGGTATCGCGTCTCGTTATAACGGATCTCACTGTAGATCGTTGTCTCAATGGAAAAATTAAAAAAAAAATTTTCATTCTATATTTTCGACTTCTTTTTTCGCGTAGAATCACCCCCTTTCCACTTGTACCGCCAGTTACCAATGACCCTGTATATTCTTTTTTCTTTATTACAAATTTAAATTTTATCGAAAACGTTATTACATTACTAATTATATATATATATATATATATATATATATATATATATATATATGTATGTTTCATATTGGTTAAGTGTTTGTAGATATTGCAAAAATTTCTGATTCGTTTAACGAATTGTATATAGTTTTGTATAGCTTAAAGTTTACCTAAGATGTATATTCTTTTCGTTCTCTGTATGGATTTTAGCTGTGAAGATAAGTACGATGTATAATTCTTTGATACGAAGTTGTGCATAAAAAAAGATTAAGATGTAAGCAGGAAGTTTTATAACTTCATAAAGAATCTAGTAAACTATTACGACTACTACTACTAATATGTTACCTATATACAAAGTAATTATTATATAAAGAAAAGAAATCATTTCTTCAATCATTACGTACGAATACAAAAACTGTAATTATCAACCCAACAACTGTTTGAGATTTAGGTAACTAATAATAGTTTTCCCCTCTATTATGTATTACAGCGAATATAGTGAATTATGATAGCTTGATCATGAATCTCATAAATTTATAAAAATCTGATGATAAAAAGCATTGATCCCAGTTCTAAAAAAAGTTTAAAGAAATGAATAATTATCTACTAAACACATCAATGATGCAACCGCTACATAAAATTGACACGAACTTTGACATAACTCTTGGACATAAAATTGTAAAAGGAAGGATGTTGAAAAATATGAATTGAATAAAGTGAATACGTACATTGCGTAGAATCGTGTGTGCACGTTGATCGATTTCTTGTAGTCCAACAGGTATCGTTCGATTGGCAAGGCAGAAACTTCGCTTGCAACCAAAGTAAACAAACTAACTATAACTTGTCGAATATTAAACTAAGTACATTATCTTAATACTTGTCGTGACTTTCTCTTTTCGTTCAAGAAAAACTCTTGATAAGGAGGAAATAATAGATCTGTGCAGCTTTGATGTCGGGATTATGCGTGCAATGGTAAATCTGTCGAAGGAAACAGAGACGGAAAAAAAGGAATAAATATGGAGATGTCACTGAATACGATGTACCAGAAGAAAACTAATGACGAAGCGACTCGCTCAAGAGCAGAATTAAGACTGTCCACCCGAAAGCAAGCCGCTAGATGCAACGGCGTCGATGCTCTATGGCCAGCTTCCCCTCCGATCATCGATGGCTTACGTAAATGCGGGAAACATTTCTTTCTAGAAATATACTTGTAACTTGTCGCGCGGCACAGCTCAACTAACAAAGAGATAAATAAACAAAAAAGATATGAGTATAAAATTAATCTCCAAAATTATACAAAACTTGACAAGATTACAGGTAGCAATCTAAAAATTGCTTCTTTTAATTTCCATAGCGAAAAAAAGGATAAAGGTGTTGAAAAAAAGATACAAACATTTATGTTTGAATTTTCATGTAAAAAGTAAGTCGAATAAAATTTAAGAAAAAAGTAATGCTTTGTCTTAAAATTGAAACATTATTGAACAAAATGTTTTCGCATAAAATATATTAAATAAAGAATATGACTTTATAAGGAGTATAAAGAAAAATAAGCGAAATGGTATATATATATATTTGTTTCAGTAATGTAGTTATAGAATTTTTGGATGAATTATTTAAATAATTATTTTTTAAAACAGCAAAACATAAATTGAAGTTCAATCAGTATAAGTATTAGATAATTAACTGTAATACATCATATTACATATATAGTTATCAAGAGTTATGTTTTTCTCCTTAAATATGGTATAAAATTATTTTCTTTTAAATTTACGAATCAAATCTAATCTACGTGTATTACATAGATTATTAAGGAAATAATTCATTAGAATATCAACCGAGTGAAGTATAATGCTTTCCACTATAATGTCTTGGTGAATAGTCGCATAAATAACAGAAGTCCTACATCTTGTCAAATGGAATGGGAACTTCATTAAGAAGCTAATAAGAATATAATGTCAGTCGATATGATAACCTGAATTATCATTTAATGTTCTTATCTATTTTGAATCGGTTTTAAATGTACATGATCTAAAACTTTTACGATGTGACCTAAAAAATAAATATCTATTCAAATACGTAAAACAAACATATTTTTCCACATAGATACGTATGAAAGAAATTTAACAAAAATAATAATTTTCAAAATAATTTTTAATCATTTTTTATAATAAATATTTTCAACACATCCCTTAAGTAGTAAATGAGAGATATAAAAGATAAGTTTCAGAGATATAGCGAGAACACAGCAATTCCTCCTTAATATTATTGTATGTTATATGTTGTATAATATTATATATTAGGAAGCAATCTTGAAAGTCAACTAATATTCATTTCTATCTATAATTTTAATTAAACTGGAGCGTAAAAAATACCACGATGTGACAAGGATAGTAAATTATGCCAAAGTACGCATGATATGTAAACAACATGAGCAGGCTATTAAATTATCAAAAAAATATTCCAAAGTGATAAATTTGTGTTACCTCATATTTTCACGGAAAATATTTTCTTGGAAACTGTTTCTAATAGATTACTGATTTTGATTTGTGAAAAATTTGAAGATATCTGCATAGAATGCACATAATATGTAAAAATATATAAAACATATCCAAAGTATTCATTATAATGCCAGGGAAATAAATCTTTATTTAAATTCCATTTCTTTAGTCATATTTACAAATATATGAACTTGCATAAACGCTCATAATCTAATTATTAAATATTGTTATACCCTAAAAGTAACAGAAACAAAATTCAAAAACTAAAAATTTTTACATATATTACATATATATTAATATATTATTTATTATATAAATATTGTGATGAATTATAATTTTGCGATTTATAATTTACAACTTATTTACAAATTTATTATTATTTACAATTTATTATGCAATATATTATAATTAATAAATATTATAATATAAATATTATTATTAAATATTATTATATAACAAATATTATGTTATATGTATAATATAAATATAATATAATAAAATATTAATATAATATTATATAATAATAACAATATTAATATTGTATAATATTATATAACGTTATATTATATTTATATTACATTTATTCTTATATATTTTTAAAAATATTTTTTGGATAATATTTTTTTCATAAAATATTATGTAAACTTTGGTACAGCCTATGTCAATTTTTGGACCCATTCACTTGTCTTTGTTTTATTTAGATTTTGGTTCATTGCCAGTGTGGGGGTCGTGGGCAACTGCATCAAATAAAATCACGACGAGTATAAAATCAGTGTCAGGTTGATACGAGTTATGTGCATACCACTATATGTCACATATATACATACATCCCGTGATACGTATATTCAATCCGCACATTTCTTCACTAGAAACATAACATGCATGCAAGCATGATGATAGCAAAAGCCAACAAAAAAAGGCAACTTCATCAGGTTACTGATAAAATGGTAAATTTGTTAAATCCATTTCCGATGAAATCATATGGGGTATGCCGAGTTTGTCTGCATTAAAAATAACGCTGTCAAGGTTGAAGTGTAAATGACGAGCATTCAATACTACATAAGCATATCAATATGGCTAGTGTTAAGTAATTGCATTAGATAGTCTACTTAATTGATTGATACTGTGGAGTATGTATTAGATATTTTAATAAATTATATAGTACAGTGCAATTTAGTTAAGATAAAATAGTAATGAATATTAATGAATACAATAGGAGATTGTAATAAATGTGAAGCATGATTGTAACCCATATAACTTGTATTTCTATCAATATTTACTAACATTGGGATGACTAATCTGTAATGTACATATATAGGCTTTTATATTCTAATAAAATAATTCAATCAAAATATTAAAATGAAATAAAGCTTAAATGCTTAAATGCCTAAATTTTCTAATTGAATAAATGGATGTTTATAATTCAAGTGATATGATGAAAATAAACAGGTACATATAATTTTATTTCTGTTTCAATGAAAACATCAATTAAGTAAAAAATGCAAGCATGGTTTTAGTAATTGCAAAAATAGAAAACTTAAAACCCCGTCGTTTTGACGTGTTAAATAAATTAAAGTAATAACATTCTAAAAAATTATTTGTGTTCTTCCAAAATGTAGTAGATATCTTTATTCGTTATAACAAAAAAATATCTGCCCTAATTAATCATTCAGTAATTCATATGTGAAGTGTAGTAAACGGTATGATGCAAGAATATCGTTAAATCATAAACTTGTTATTTTTGCTGGAAACATGAATAATATCATAGCAGTAAAAATATGATTCACTGATTAAAAAATTTGCCAAATTTATATTAAAATGAAGATTATGTTATTTATTAATAAGTAATAACTTAACTATTAAGATCGTTTAAAGATTTGTATAAATTATGTATAATTTTAGAAAAAATAGTTTACTTTCACAAAATATGAAAGAAAGTAAAGAAAGTGAAAACATTATTATTAAACATAATATATTTCTGTACATTGGCATCAAAATGCATTAGATTTGTACGTAATTATCAAGTCTATATAAAGGAGAACAAAGTTTATTTATTCTACGTTAGTATACGCATATAACTTAGTAACGTAGTAACTTTTCTATCTTATTTTTAATTCTGTTTGATAAATGTATCTCATTCATGATATCAGAGTCATAAGCAAGAATTAAACCCAAATTATGACGTTTGCAATGATTAGAGTTCACACACAGAAGGTTAATGACTTCGTATAAACATGCAAACTTATTTAGTTTACCATCTATGTATTGCAAGTAAAATTGATGCTTACTAACATCGTGAGGCAATGAAGAATGAGACATCACACCTTAAGTATGACTACATAACCAATTACTACATAACCTATAACATACAACCAATATAAATTATGTAAAAAGTAAAAATTGAAAAATTCACTTTTTAATTTAAAATATTAAATATTGCAGTATATTTTAATACTTCTAATAATTTTTGTGAAATTAAAAAGTATTATTATGCCAAAACAATATCCTTCAAAATTAGTCTCGTGTCACAATTATTTCAGACACAAATTCTCTTTTTCTCTTGATTCTTCTGTCAAAATAAAATTATTGCAAATATATAAAATATCAAGATTATTATACAAAACAGCATATAGGTGTATAATATAACTGTAAAACACTACAGTATATATAACTTGTAGAAATTTATAGATACAGAATTATGTATCAAGAATTATTTCTAATATAGCATAATGTAAAACTATATCTTATGACAAATTGAAAGACAGTTTTATCAAATTTTTAGTATCATATTTGTACATTAATTTAATGGAACGTCTGCGACTATTTAGTAATTGTATTTGATAATTAATAAATAAAATAATAAAAATAAATTGTATTTGGTAACGTCGATAATTTCGTTATGCAGTTGATTTAGTTTATGCCTATAGAAGGCAACTGGGGCTTTGATATTTATTACCGTACGCAATTGTTAAATCGAATAAGGAGATGCAATATTCAATTTAATTTCTGTGCCGAGTAAAAGATATTTTGTTTATATTATGTTGCTGCTGAGCGACAGACATTTCTGATGAAATCACAGAAAGTTGTGTAGTCAGTGAGACTAGTTTGCAATATAAAAATGTACATTGTACATAAATATATGTCATTCGAATGCAGGGCCGGTACTGCGTATAACGAACATTCTATGTACCTCTTCATGAATTTTGCGATATGCATCAAAAAGTTGGGAAAACAATAGCGATCAAAGAAATTATTTAGTTAAGATATTAAAATCATTAAAAGCAAAATCTAAACTATATACATATAAACAAATAAACTATATACATGCTTATAATTAAATATATATATGCACTATAATTAGGTTATGGTTATATATAGAACTGAGTAGTTTTATAAGACAAAAAATAAACAAACAGAAGGCTTGCGATTTATAAAATATAAACATATGAAATCTGTGTGTGTGTAATTAATATGATAGAATGTCACTTTTCTTAGGAATTATATATCAATATCTTCACTTTTCCCAGAAATTTAACATTATGTTTATATTAGCTATTTATTTAAAAAAAGTTTCCTTGATAATATATCTTTATTACTTTTTTCTAGTAAATAGAACTTCAATTAC